GACCCTTCTTCATTTTCTGAAGAAGGGTCTAGGCCCGAAACGTCAGCTTTCCTGCTCCTCTGATGCTGCTTGGCCTGCTGTGTTCATCCAGCTCTACACCTTGTTATCTCTGATAGCCTATCTGCCACCCGTTTCACTTTCTCTCTCCCAATTTTTATTTCTATTGTTATCTTTCACCTATTTTACAATAATATGCAAAGTTAAAATCCATCCCTTTGTATTTTTGTCAGCAACATTATTGGTACAAACTCACACTGGAAATAACATGCAGCAGATCACACTCTTCCTTTGCAGATATGTGTAATTTAATTGATATTGGTATTTCACCTTTATCCCCACAGTTCAGTTTTGATAGAAGCTTAATTAGCAAAACAAAAGCTTATCACAAAGATGGACACCAGAAAAATTATTGAGAAGTTTGGGAATGCAGTGCATCCAGACCCTGCTGACTCAACCCTTAAGCCGTGCTCCTGCCAGGTTTAAGGTGGAATGCACTAAAATCTCTAAATATTCAGTGCAACTAGAATATTGCTCCTGATAAATAAGAAGACACAAGAAAATAAATGTTATTGAGTACAAATAGGCTATCTAGATATATTATTAGGTAAAAATAAGCTATTCATTTGTATTGTTTGCAATAATGAAGAGCTGCCAGCAAATGCGAGGCTCTAATTCACTCAAAAGGATTCTGCTGACTCTGGCTTATGATATCATCAGACTATTTGATTGAATTACTGCCTTGTAACTGACTGCACTCTATTTATTAGCATACATTTACTTTTCACTTATGTGAATTACAAGCCTACTCAGCAGAAAAAAATGCATTGTTAACTTCCACAGAATAAATAAAAATATTAACTGTTTTCACTCACAATAATTTTATCACCCCAAAGGCAAAATTTAGAATGAAATAGCCATTTTATTCTTTTTCTCTTTTCCTTTCTTGCCTTGTGTAGGTATACTGCTGGTGTATTATATCAGAGCTATTAAAATTCTTGGTGCCTTTTACAGATGCTCATAAATGGCTCATAAATGATTACTGGTTGTGTATTGGCAAAGTTGATGAATTGAAATCAAGAGTTGGAATTATTGTGTCTTTTTCTCCTGCCTGGTCATGGTTCAATATTACTACTCCAGCAATTGTTAGCAAATTGGTTCATACGGTTTGTAGGTGATAATTTTTAATTGTTGTATTGCAGCATAGGTTCTGGTCCACACAGTTCTGTATCTTTAAGACAGTTACATTACACCAAAGCATTTGATGTTTCACTAGAAAAGCACCCACCTAAATTTCAGTCTCACACTTTGGTTAATGTTGGTGCCAGTTATTCATGTATGTGTAATTCCTATAATATCACAAATCATTGAACTTAGATCTGTCATGCTGTGGCATTGTAAATAAATGGTATTGCAAACAAACTTCAAGATATCTAACTAAAATCAACCCAATGATCTGTGGTACATATTATGTGACCGTGGCATGGTGACAGTGAATGGACACTGAAAGCTCGTCATGATATAAAGTAATTAACTAAGTAGAAATGGCTGGGCAGGTGATGTGCAGTAGCTGTATGATGTGGGAGCTGGCTGATCCCATTGTGAACGGCAGTGACCACATCTGCAGCAAGTGTTGGTCGCTGGAAGAACTTCGGCTCAGAGTTGAAGATCGGGAATCTGAGCTTCAAACACTGCGGCACATCCGGGAGGGGGAGAGTTACCTGGACGCTTTGTTTCAGGAGGCAGTCACACCTGGTAGATTAAGTAATTCAAATTCAGTTAGTGATCAGGGACAACAGGGTGTGACTGCAAGTGAGGCAGGTAGGGGGATCCTGAGTTCAGGAGTGGAGGAGCCTCAGCTTTTGACCTTATCCAACAGGTACGAGATGCTTGCTCCCTGTGTGGATGAGGAAAAGGGCTGCGGGGAGGATGAGCCAGCTCACCACGGCACCATGGTGCAGAAGGCCATTCAAGAGGGGGGAGCAAAAAGACAAGTGGTAGTTATAGGGGATTCTATAGTTAGGGGGATAGATAGTATCCTTTGCAAACCGGATCGGGAGTCCCGCATGTTGTGTTGCCTGCCCGGTGCCAGGGTACAGGACATCTCTGACCGGCTTGAAAGAATATTGGAGCGGGAGGGGGAGTTGTTGTGGTCCACGTTGGGACTAACAACATAGGCAAGGCTAGGATGGAGGACCTGTTTGGGGATTATCAAGCACTAGGAACGAAACTAAGGAACAGGTCCTCAAGGGTCATAATCTCCAGATTACTGACCGAGCCACGTGCACATTGGCTTAGGGATAAGAAAATTAGGGAAGTAAAAACGTGGCTAAGGGAGTGATGTGGGAAAGAGGGGTTCCATTTCATGGGGCATTGGCATCAGTTTTGGAACCGGAGGGATCTGTACCGATGGGACGGTCTCCACCTGAAATGATCTGGAACCAGTGTTCTAGCGAAAAGGATAAATAGGGTGGTCACTAGGACTTTAAACTAGTGAGTTGGGGGGGAAGGGAAAGGGAAAACGACAGGGAGTATGATGGTAAATAAAAAGGTAAGCAGCAGGTTAGCATGTGTGCAGGAGGGTTTAAATTCAAGGCAGACTATGAAAGAAACAAAAAGGAAGGATAACTCAGGAGATATTATTAGAGATGTTGGAAATCATGAGGGTAAGAAAGTTAGCATAAAGGCACTTTACCTGAATGCTCGTAGCATTCGTAACAAGGTTGATGAGTTAACGGCATAAATCATCGTGAATGAATATGATTTGGTAGCCATTAGGAGACATGGTTACAGGATGGTCACGACTGGGAGTTAAATATCCAAGGGTACCAGACTATTCGGAAGGACAGACAGGAAGGTAAGGGAGGTGATGTAGCTCTGATATTCTAGGATAACATCAGGGCGGTGCTGAGAGATGATATAGGTTCTATGGAGAATGAGGTTGAATCCATTTGGGTGGAAATTAGAAATTCTAAGAGGAAAAGGTCACTGATAGGCGTAGTCTATAGGCCACCAAATAATAACATCACATTGGGGCGGGCAATAAACAAAGAAATAACTAATGCCTGTAAAAATGGTACGGCAATTGTCATGGGGGATTTTAATCTACATGTAGATTGGTCGAACCAGCTCGGTCAGGGTAGCCTTGAGGAGGAGTTCGTTGAGTGTATCTGTGATAGTTTTCTTGAACAGTATGTAATGGAACCGACGAGGGAGCAAGCTATCCTAGATCTGGTCCTGTGTAATGAGACAGGAATAATTAACGACCTCATAGTTAGGGATCCTCTTGGAAGGTGTGATCACAGTATGGTTGAATTTAGAATACAGATGGAGAGTGTGAAGATAAAATCCAATACCAGCGTCCTGTGCTTGAACAAGGGGAACTACAAAGAATGAGGGAGGACTTGGCTAAAGTAGACTGGAAACAAAGATTTTATGGTGGGACAGTTGATGAGCAGTGGAGGACTTTCAAAGCAATTTTTCAAAGTGTTCAGCAAAAGTATATTCCAATGAAAAGGAAGGACTGTAAGAAAAGGGATAATCTGCCATGGGTGTCTAAAGAAATAAGGGAGGCTATCAAATTGAAAGAAAAGGCATACAAAGTGGCCAAAAACAGCATGAAACTAGAAGATTGGGAAAACTTTAAAGGTCAACAGAAAGCCACAAAGACAGCTATAAAGAAAAGTAAGATAGAACATGAGAAAAAACTAGCACAGAATATAAAGACAGATAGCAAAAGTTTCTATAAATATATAAAACGAAAAAGAGTGGCTAAAGTAAACGTTGGCCCTTTAGAGGATGAGAAGGGGAATTTAGTTATGGGATATGATGAAATGGCCGAGGCATTGAACAGGTATTTTGTATCGGTCTTCACAGTGGCGAACAATAATAACATGCCAGTAATTGACAAAGAGACGAAGGTAGGTGAGGACCTGGAAACAATCATTATTACGGAAGAGGTAGTGTTGGGCAAGCTAATGGAGCTAAGGATTGATAAGTCTCCTGGCCCTGATGGAATGCATCCCAGGGTACTAAAAGAGATGGCGGGAGAAATAGCAGGTGCACTGGCAGTAATTTTCCAAAATTCGCTGGACTCTGGGTCAGTCCCAGCAGATTGGAAAACAGCAAATGTGACGCCACTGTTTAAAAAGGGAAGTAGACAAAAGATGGGGAATTATAGACCGGTTAGCTTAACCTCTGTAGTGGGGAAGATGCTTGAGTCTATTATCAAGGAAGAAATAGCAAGGCATCTTGATAGAAATTGTCCCATTAGGCAGATGCAGCAGGGGTTCATGAAGGGCAGGTCATGCTTGACAAATCTTTTGGAATTCTATGAAGAGATTACGAGCAAGGTGGACAATGGGGACCCAGTGGATGTGGTGTACCTAGATTTCCAAAAGGCCTTCGACAAGGTGCCGCACAAGAGGCTACGGCATAAGATAAGGATGCATGGCATTAAGGGTAAAGTATTAGCATGGATAGAGGATTGGTTGACTAACAGGA